ACGAAGCATCTTCTAGTGAGTGTCTACAAAGTTTATTCAAATAAAAGCCCTGGGGTCAAAATTGGCCCCGCCCAAGGGGGTCATTGATTTTCCCTAAATGCATATAGTAAAAACTTTAAAATCTTCTTTTAAAGAACCCAAAGAGCTAGAGCTAAGATATTAAGCACGAAGCATCTTCTAGTAAGTGTTTTCCAAGTTTGTTAATTTAAAAATAAAAGCCCTGGGGTCACGATTGGCCCCGCCCCAGGGGGTCATTGATTTTCCCTATATGCATATAGTAAAAACTTTAAAAAATTATTTTAAAGAACCCAAAGAGCTAGAGCTAAGATATTTAGCATGAAACATCTTCTAATGAGTGTCTACCAAGTTTGTTCAAATAAAAGCCCTGGGGTAAAAATTGGCTCTGCCCCAGGGGGTCATTGATTTTCCCTATATGCATATAGTAAAAACTTTAAAAAAAATTCTTTTAAAGAACCCAAAGAGCTAGAGCTAAGATATTTATCATGAAACATCTTCTAATGGGTGTCTACCAAGTTTGTTCAAATAAAAGCCCTGGGGTCAAAATTGACCCCGCCCCGGGGGACATTGATTTTCCTTATATGTGTATAGCAAAAAACTTAAAAATCTTCTTTTAAAGAACCCGAATAGCTAGAGTTTAGATATTAAGCATGAAACATTTTCTAGTAAGTGTCTACAAAGATTAAATAAATAATTAAATAAAAGCCCTTGGGTCAAAACTGCCCCTGCCCCAGGTGTGTCATTGTTTTTAACTATATGTGTAAAGAAAAAACTTGACCAGCTAGACCTTAGATGTTTAGCATGAAACATCTTCTAATGGGTGTCTACCAAGTTTGTTCAAATAAAAGCCCTGGGGTTTAAACTGGCCAGCTCCGGGGGCCTATATACAGGTGAGCGACTTCAGGGCCAGCATGGCCCTCTTGTTTAATGTTCTTTTAGTTTATTCTCGTAGCTGAAATGTTATTACATTTGTCAGGAAAGTGCGATGTTTAATCATAGACAGTAAGATATTTTTATTATTATTATTTTCATCATTAGATCTATGTAATTTATTTTCTTTAATTTATTTTCAAAAAGAGATAATTTTTAAATATGTGCTTTACGATCCAAAAACTTTGAAAAAATAATAAAGTTAGCTAAACAACATTTAATTAGCTCCGGTACACTATTAATTTAACATAACTTGAACTTTTTTCGCCTGAAAACTGGTTCGATATTTTTAATTATGCACTAGTCGGTTAAAGTGACAGATCTCCTTTAGCCCTATGAGACAGTCAGATTGTAAAAATAACGCCATGTGCTCCCACAATGAAACTCAGATGAAGTATACTAAGCAATAATATTGTCTGAAACAATAAGTTTTGTTTTTACAATCAGTTTGGATTGAAACAAATTTCAAGAATAAACAGAACCTCATTATTCCTGCTCCCTTTGCCCTGTCCTAGGTCCAAGGACCCTTGTTTCAAATAACCCACACACAAAACTACTTTAATCGAACAGATAATTGTATATTTATTTCATCTCTCACTAGCATCCTGCATTTTTACTGAATAAGAGCAGTCACATGTTGACCTACTATTTTTCTAAAGTTGGTTAGTAGCTTGACACTATGGGACTTGTCATACTTTGTTTGTTTAATTTTACGCCTTTTCCCAACAGTATTTCAGTCATATAGGCGGGTAGTTTCCTAACCATACAAATACAAAATACAAATACAAAATGGCCACAATTCAACAAAATTCAACAAAATTGACAAATAACATATTATTTTCCTCCAAAAATTATAGATATAAAATAAATCATATTTATGCCCACGGGCATAAAGTAATTAAACCTTCCTTCCGTCTGTCCGTTCGAAGTTAACCTAAACCGGCAAGTTGGATTTTCCTTAAGTTCTACCTGTACCAATGTCTTCATAATTTACACACTTACTTATCAATACAAAGTTCATGATCTTATTAATTTGACTATGGCTTCCATTTTTTTTTCAAGTTGTACTTTTAAGCACTTCGAAATTGATGTGGTAAAACTAAACTGGCAGGGGGTACCTTAAATGGTCCTCTAACTTTTGGTGAAATTAGTGTTTACTGGAGTCAATGTCAAGGTCACTGGTGTCGAAATCTTTTTTCTTACATTTTTGCTCATACAGCATTTATTTTTAAATTGGTGTCTTTTATGTTTACGGTCTTGCCTAGGAAGTTCCTTTTCATTCGATTTAGTATGGGGTCATAAGGGTCATCAAGAAATAAATAAAAAATAAATAAAATAAAAAAAAAATAAAAAAAAATAAAAAGATTTTTTACACTTTAACATAATTATACAACCTCCCTCTATTGACAGAATGTCTTGTATATTTGGTAGGAATATTCATTGAAAAGTCTTCTACCCTTTGACGGAGTAAGGGGTAAGTTGGGTTATGGTCACCATGCTAAAATAGATTTTTACATTTTTTTTTCACACAGATTTATACAGCCTTTATCTATTTGCAAGTGTCTTTCATATTTGGTAGAAAGATAACTGGTGTTGTCTTCTTCCTTTGGCTTTAGTTGAGGTGAGAATGTCAAGGTAAGGATGCCAAAAATAGTTTTTACGAATTTCCTTATACAGAAAATACTGTATCCTTACTATTGTGTTCGAATTTCTTATCCGAAGTTAATCGTTCCCGTCAGTCTTCGGAAAAGGAGTAAGAATGCACTGAACGGATACGGTATTTCTGTCTAACCGGTCTAACCTACCTAAGAAACAAAACATGTAAACAAATCGTGATTTAATGCTTGGAGAAGTTGACCATTTGAATTCCAATATATCGAGTAAATGTCCATCTTAATAAAATAAATTTATAGATATAAAAAATGTGTATAAACCGAAAGTAGAAAACATCTATTTGGATTTGTTTAATATTGTACATCAGTGGGCATTTGGTAAATTAATTATGACTTTCAGACAAATTTCAATAATAATATTAGTGAAAGAGATTTTATTTTTCTATGTATGTCAAATACGTACTCACGTTACTATAAAACCACGTGGTCGAACTACTTTCAATACGTATTATCCGAGATGCGAATGTATATTAAACAATAACAATATTGGGAAACCATTTATTTTTTTTTTTAATGAGGTTTTTTAAAACATATGCATATTTACGTTCTTTTAGTTTATTCTCGTTATAACATTTGTCGGGAAAGTGCGATGTTTAATCATAGACAGTAAGATATTATTATCATTATCATTATTACTTTCATCATTAGATCTATGTTATTCATTTTCTTATATTTTTTTTTCAAAAAGAGATATTTTTTTAAATATTATTTACGATCCAAAAACTTTTTTTTTTAATAAAAAAATAAAAAATAAAGTTAGTAAACATTAAGCTCCGGTATACTATTAATTTTCTGAATTAACAGCATAACTTGAACATTTTTCGCCTCAAAACTGGTACGAAATTTTTAACAATGCACTAGTCGGTTGTAAAAAATACCGCCATGTGTTCCCACAATGAAAGGTAGCATACTAAGCAGTAATAGTGTCTGAAACTTGTGTACAAAATCTGCTGTGGTCATAGTATTATTTTTAAATTAAATTTGGTTTGCAAATCATGGTCATGCAACTACATAATTAGGTAAAGAAGCAGACACTTGTTTTGGTTGAGTCTATTTTTTTGTTTAGGGGGCCGGTGAGTTGTCATACACAAATTTACAATTTATATGAATTTATGATTTTGCAATGATTTTTATTATTTTAATTTTTTCTTGGATTGTTTTCTTAAATTATTTGTAAATAAAATTGTTATATGTCCGATTAAAGGCGTAATTTTAATGACCATATCAAATTAGTTCACACCTTTATGTAAATTGATCACGCGATTGTTTCAGCCAATGAAAAAACATTAACATAGCCGGGCAGAGAAAAAGTTTAGTACTCGTTGATAATCTTGATTTAGCAAATAAACTTTGAATTGGAATTTTGATTTCATATTATATATTGGTAGAAGAAACTGTCAGAGGACGGCCATGCATTTCCGTATCGCAAGATGGCTGCCGTGACAGTGTCACGTGTCTACCAAGCACCTTAGTGCGTATATTATAGATATAGCTAACTGGGCGCGTCGCATGAAATAGGAGATATCTTTTAATATCTATTTGTAATAAATATTTACAAGTTTTATTGGTCACCAGCCCATGGGCGGTAACTCGGCAAGCCTCGTTACCGTCCAATGGGCGGGTCACCTCGGAACGGATATTCCGATCCGAACCACAAAATATGACAGATATTATTATTCTTAAGACTATATAGATTACTCGCCCCTATGGCATATTGCAAAAAAATATTGTTCGGGTGATATTGATTTCCAGGATAATAGATCTAGATCGAAAAAAACACCCAAAGCAACAACACCATGTAAAGTCACATTAGTCTAGAAAGTAAAATGGTTACGTCAGGTTTAGTAAAACTATCACGGATCAATGAAGGAAACTTTTACTTGATTTCTTAAGTTTCTACTGAAGTACTTCTGAAATGTTTATTGTTAATCGGCGAGGTGTTGTTTAAATTACACACACAGCTAACGTAATATTTGAATTATGTAGTTCCGTAATATACCTATTCAAAACAACAAACATGGTCTTCATGTCAAAATATTTATGAAAGTCGATGTATTTTATGACCAAACCTTGATTTCCTGCAGTGTGGAAGATGTTTATTTTATAACTTAGTACATTGTGTTACTACGATTTACACATTAGTTTAAATAAGCCCCTATAAATATATGCAATGTACTTAAATGCATTTCTTGTTCTTGTTCAATACCTTTTATGTTTCTGGCATTATTATCTTATCCAGTAACAAGAAAAGAAGACAGAAAATATGTAATGGAAAAGCTACCAAAAGGACAACCATAAATGAATGTTCACATACAATCATTACATTTCATTTTGTATGTACCATGAAAGCTTTATCCGTACTATAGCCATGCAAATAATATGGGGTTGGACTATTTAGGGCCAATCATACTTGTTACTTGTCTGAACAGCATTTTTGGTGTAAGTGTACCATGTAATGAAAAATATCTTGCAAAAAATGGTCACCGGTGTTACCCATGCAGTGCGGGATATTACAAAGTTTCGGATTGTGTGATAGACGGGGAACAGTCAAGATGTAGACCTTGTGGAAAAGGGGAATATCTGCCCACGTGTGATAATTCGATACAGTGTAACGTTTGTGATCTGTTTTGTCATGGAGGACAAGTTAACATTAAACCATGCACATCAACCAGTAACTTAAAATGCCAGTGCAAGGATGGATACTATTGGAAAACGGACCCACATCGATTTTGTACTAGACATAGAAAATGTGTATCAGGAGAAGGATTAAAGACAAAAGGTATAGTTATAGTTCTTTGAAGAATTCATTTGACATTTAATATGATTTGTAATAAATGACTGACAATAGATGGTTACATTTAGGTATTACTTGATATAACAATCTGGTTTAAAAATGATTTCTTTTGGATAACACCTGTCGGTGTGTGAGTGTGTGTGATTATTAAAAAACAAAGAGGAGTGTTCCTGTCGTAAAAGTGTGCAGCCATGGTGGACTTGGGACTATGTTGAGTTCTAGTACACTAACTTTCTTATTACAGGCACATTGAGTCTCAGAAATGCATAATATGGTTCATTTGTACAGATAAAGCAAACCTGTATTTTATAACGTTTCTGAAACTGACAAAATACAAAAAAAATCAAACAAGACTTTAACAAATGAACGAAGTATAAAATTATGAGCTAAATGGGCATTTAAGGTTTCCAAATTAACAATTTAAAAAAATAACATTAAACTGTAACAATAGAATGTTGACTAATTGAGCACAGTGGCCAGGGGAGAGAACTAGAACATTATGTTTTCTAAAGTCTATACAGATTACTCGCCCCTAGGGCATATTGCAAAAAATATTGTTAGGGTGATAATAATTTATCCGTGTTATTTGTGCCGTGTGGCGGCTGTAAAATGTCTCCCCGTACATTTAATCAATGATGTTATATTTTCAGCACGACATTATTGCTGTGCATACATTTTAGTTTCTTGTATTGACCTTTTTCAACTTGGGTGGTTCCAGTATTCCTACTTAAATACTGTATAATCACCCTTAGGATATGTTGCCTGCTTTTTAAATTTGTTTTTTGACGTTGTGTCTGTGATATGCAGGCTTCATTACCTCTGATCCCCTTTCAAAGTTCCATTTTATTTAGTTCCGCCCATTGTTTTCACGTTTAGGGCACACGCATTATTTTACTTGGGGACCATACGCCGCTTTTCATGGAATGGCACTACTGTGTCACATTGAAGGTTCCATAATGACCGCCGTATGAACACATCTGCGGATGTTTCTAAATTCAAAATTTCACCACTTTATGTTTAAATGTTGAATTCTGCTTAAGCCAGTGCTAGGGTAGCGTGGACGGTAACTTGCACATTCCAGTACTGTCCATGAACAGACTCAATCAAACAGAGCCTGCAACATTTCAAAATTTTGCCGTGTTGGGCTTTCTTTAGGGATTCTGTTTTACTCTATGTCGTTTTGAAGTAGTGAAAGTGTGAATTTATCTAATAGTATTTACACTGTACGTGTATTTGTATACTTAGAAGTAATTATCTTAATAAATTTATGCCTTTTTCTTTTGAAAGGAACACCATATGAAGACACAATATGCGAGCCATGCAAAAACGGCACCTCATATTCCAATTTGACTTCATTTAACGGATGCACGCCATGCTCTATCTGTCACATAACGCAAAAAAGCTGTAACAATACCCATGATACCGTTTGTGGCAGCAAACCGAAAGGTACGACGAACACTCCCGGAGGTTGTATTATCCTAATCTTTTAGGCTTGTGTTTCTATGTTCATAACTGTATCTTTGTAACATTCATATAATCTGTGTTTATTTCTTCATAAGTTAGAATATTTCTTTTAATTAGGTGTGCGTTTATTTTATCGGTTTAACCTTTTACCCCATGAGCATATTGTGAAAAATGGCCGTTTTCATTGAAAAGCCTCCTGTTACAAGTTCAAACTGCTATGAAACTATGAAAGATGATTCAATAATAATGAAACTCGGCACAAATGTTGACTGGACCATAGCCATTGATACAGCATGCTCATTCGTAAATTTCCTGTTACCATTGCAACGGGGAGACGTCTCAAAATTGCGAAAAATTACTACTTTGCATTGTTTTTTATTTCCATCAAAGTGCTGCAACTTCTCAATGAATTGAGATAGAGTAAAAGGCTTTTCAGCGTCGGTTACTAGTTACCCTGAGATCGACCTGAGGCCGTTTTTAGCCTGTCACATGTCCAAAATTTTCTTGGCGCTGAGGGGGGACTACCACCCCTTAACCCCCCCCCCCCCCAAACAGAGGGGGGCACATTCTTCTTCTGGCAACCTCTTGGCGTATCATTTTGATGGGGGCGGCGCCGAAAAAGTGGACACTTTCTTAACATTATTTCGCAAACGAAAAACAGTGTTTGGGGCTTAAATATGGCATTTTTTCACTTTTTGAGGTCAAAACACGTCTATATCAGGTAAAAGGTTAATATCGTTTTGTTTTTCTTCATTTAATTATTTGCAATATGATATTTTCCCTTTATATAGTCTGATTTTATTGACCTGTCAATTATATATGCATAATAGATCTCATTTAAATAATCGACCCCACTTCGGTCCTGTCCGTATAGTTTACGAGAATTAATATGAGTATGTAACTAATGTTTATCACACTAGCTATATGGAAAGGTTCTCGTCACATCCGCAATAGCACAGTCGGTTAAGTGATTACCTTATATATAAGAGGTTTGTGGTTCGATCCCTACTTTTGCAATTGTTTGAGCCCTATTCTTTCTTTATTTGTTGAAGTATGTTTTAATGAAAATGACCAAGTGCCACGGATATGAAACATCTTAGAAACAATTATTTGTCTCGTTTTGATTTTGTATTTTACGACACTGAAAATACATTTATTGATTTTAATCCGAATGAATTTTAGATATCAATTCTTAAAATATATTATTGAAAAAAGTATAGACTTGGCCAAATAAGTGCAAAACATATTAAAAACAAAAATAATAACCTAAAAATAAATCATGATTTCAATAATGTTGAAAATAGTTATATGTAAGAAAAAAGAACAATGGGCATAGCGGTCTCGATCTTACAACACGCATGGCATCAAGAATTTATAAAACAGTTACTGTAGTTTTCTTTATTGCGTTATATCGGCCAGAGTAAATTTTTCATGAAACAAATTAAATTTAATCACATCTTTCTGCTAACATCTCACGAAATTTACCGAAAATTTATCGAAGATTAATATATTGTGTGCATTGACTGTGAAATCAGAATGCAATTGACAGGTTAATAAAATCAAACAATACTACAGTCTATTCATTATTCACATGTACAGCATGGTATGAGTCATCGTCGGATACCAAAGACCGGACCATTATCATTTATCATGTTACATGTTGAACAACCGTGGGTATCCGACGAGGGGTATCAATAAGACTAGTATAGGAAAAGCATAAATACTGTTCTTGTGAAAAACCACTTGTCCAATTTCAATCAAACTTGGCAGGATTGATTCGTTGGTGAAGGGCTTTCAAAGTTGTTCAAAGAATTTCATTCCATGCAGAAATCTGGTTGCCGTGACAACCAAAAGGAATTAGAAGAATAAATTTTAAAAATCTTCTTGTAAAGACCCACAAGGTCTTGAGCATAGATATTTTGCATAAGGCATTGTCTGGTAGGCCTCTACCAAGATTGTTCAAATTATAGCCCTTGGGACAAAATAGGCCCCGCCCCGGGGGTCGTTGATTTTCACTATATGTACATATAGTAAAAACTAAAATACCTTCTTGTCTGATGGTACAAGGCTTAAAGCTTTGATATTTGGTATATGATATCATCTATAGGTACTCTACCAAAGTTGTTCAAATTATAGCCCTTGGGACAAAATAAGCCCCGCCCCGGGGGTCATTGATTTTCACTATATGTACACGAAGTAAAAACTAAAATACCTTCTTGTCTGAAGGTACAAGGCTTAGAGCTTTGATATTTGGTATATGATATCATCTATAGGTACTCTACCAAAGCTGTTAACATTTTGCCTCTAGCGTCAAAATTAGAAATTAGCCCCGCCCCATGGGTCATAGGTTTTCCTTTAATGTATAAAGTAAAAACTTAAAAAATCATCTTCTCTTAATTGACAAAGGCTAGAGGTTAGATATTTTGCATAAAAACATTGTGTAGTGAACCTCTACCAAGATTGTTCAAATTTTAGCCCTGGGGTCAAAATTGGCCCACCCCGGGGGTCATTGATTTTCACTATGTATATATAGTAAAAAATAAAAACTCTTATTGTCTGAAGGTACATGGCTTAGAGCATATGGTATCATCTAAAGGTATTCTACCAAAGTTGTTCAAATGTTGCCTCTAGTGTCAAAATTAGCCCCGCCCCGGGGGTCATAGGTTTTTCTTATAATTATGTACAATTATAGTAAAAAATCATCTTCTCTAAATTTACAAAGGCTAGAGGTTAATTATTTTGCATGAAACATTGTGTAGTGAACCTCTAGCAAGATTGTTCAAATTAGAGCCCTGGGGTCAAAATTTGCCCCGCCCCGGGGGTCATTGATTTTCACTTTGTACATATTGTAAAAAAAACTAAAAATCTTATTGTCTGAAGGTGGGCTTAGAGTTTTGATTTTTGGTATATGATATAATTTATAGGTACTCTACCAAAGTTGTTCAATTTTTGCCTCTAGTATCAAAATTAGCTCCGCTTTGCTTTATAATATTGTCAGGCCGGTTCCGAGTCAGGATTATAACAATAGTCGCAACAAATTTGTAAAATTAAATAATTCTTTTAATTTTTTATATCACTCAAATAATAAATTTATTTGAC